CCCCAGCTGCTCTGTGTAGTCTATAGAGGGTATGTGTTAATGTCCTAACCACTAATTAGGTGTTATCTCACAGCTTTTAGACAGAGAGTGAGATCGTTCCACCCACCACCTGACATCGCTTGAGCTGATATCTTTTGCACTCTTCCAGAAACACGCACAATTATATCAGTCACGCACTCCTCTTCTGCCTGTCACATACAGAGCATTCCTGACCTACTAATTACCGTACAAGTCTAATCTCCCTGCTATCAGGCCTTAATGTTAACATGGATTTGGTGAACTGACAAGTGCTGCGAAAACCTTTTGTCAACATCTCACACTGTCAGGTTGATTTAGCCTCTTGGGAGGGATTCTCCATTTAACCCTGTCTAAAGCAGACTTTGTCTTTTAAAAATAAATGATGCATTGTGCCAATTTGAACAGTGCAACCTGACTAAATGACAGGATGAGTAACATCACAGATGTCTCCTTCAAATTCAAGGCCCACATTTGTGGAACAATACATTTTCATTATTTTGTTGGTTCAAAGTGCAGAGAGGTTTAGATCAGAAAGGTAATAGGTGCACAATTGTAAAGCCAGAGTTAGGATGCGTAATGCATGAGAATGTCAGCAATACAACACTTCTCACACCTTCAATCCCTTAGATTTCTGTAAATACTATTTCTCTTACAGAAGACGTGTTGCCTTTGATAAGATGGCATTCATCAAGCCGCAGCTGTGGAGATTTTTTTTTTTTTCTTTTTCATCAATTCCTTTTTTCAGACTTCATCTCTAAAAAAAGCCACACAGCGGGGCATTGCCACGTTGTGACACAGTCAATCACATTTTCTTGAGGAAAAGCAATTTCCACACCATTATTCACAGGTTTCAGTGGTTTACGCTTTACATGAATGTTAATTGCTTTAAAATAGTGTTTGTTCTTTCAAAATTTGGTTTTGGGAAATGGAATAACTTGAGTGATTACTGTGGTGGATGGTGAATGAGAAGACATAGTAAGATTATTGTTTTTGCATATTGCATTGAATATGTACATTGAATTGCATAATACATAGGTGGCTCGAGTATAATTCCATTAATACTTATTTATTAACTCATCATACAAATAACTTTTATGAAGTATGTTTAGGATAATTTTTTTTAAGTTTTGTATATGGTGAGTTTTGCAATCAAGCACTTATTTTTCTTCAGAAAACACATGAATCTATTTTAAATGGCCTAATAATTTCTAGAGCACAGAAATAATTGACATTTTTCACATCCAATTATCTTTGGATAACTTTTAACTTTCTCTGTTAGATAAAAAAATTACACAGTCAAAATTTTTTCCCTTGCTAAGGAGTGTATGGTAAAGAAATAGTTCAGCTAAAATTTAAAATAGTCCTTCCAAGGCTATATGCTGTTATTTTCTGTGGAACACAAAAGTAGACATTTTTGAACAATCATTACACAGCTATTGCCATATAATGACGGTTCACAGCGCTGTCATGCTCCAAAAAGGGCCAAAAAACCCCACTATAAAGGAACAATCAAAATTTAAAAATGACGCCTCCTGTGCAGTGCTGTAGGAGGTCGTTTGTTACACAAAGCAAAGTAATATCAGAAAGCCCAGCCAGTTCTAAATTGTGCAGTCACAAAGCAGACTATTGCATAGTAATGATGGGTGTTAAGGAATGGAAAAAAGATCTTCCTCCTACTCTCATGCATTATGCTATCAGACACAAAGGGCAAAAGCACATCCAGCATTTTTAAACAAGAACACACAGATGAAAGCCTCATATCCTGCAGTGCGTGGGTGCTTTCCTTCTGATCATTATAGTTTAAAGCACAGGGCTCCACTCCTCCTATAAGGACTGATGTTGCTTTAAAATGCACCTATATACAATTTAGGCAGTTGCTACTACAAGTAACACATTCAATGAGAAATAAAAACAGAAGTAGGTAAAGCAAAATAAATAAGCAATTTTCTGTTGTACCAGTGGAAAAGCCTAATATCTCCATCAAAACAACACACTCCTAAAAATAAAGGTTCTTATTGGCATCTGTGATTCCACAAAGAATCTTTAACATCCATGTAAACTTTTCATTGCACAAAAGTTTCCACTATAAGCATACAGTGCTCATGCAGCACTGAAGAAAGCATGGGCTGAAACATCTACTAGTTTTTAAGACATATTGATATTATAGATATTTTTGGTCTGATTGTATTTTTCCAGTGTGCATACAACTTCAGCCAATTGGGTAAGAACTTTTCACTTAAAGGTTATTTGGGAAACCCAAAATGTTTCTTCTATGGCATAACTGTAGAAACCCTTATTTGGAAACGTTATTTTTAAGAGTGACCAATATTTCTGTGGCATGTGGTTTCTATAACTTTTGGACAAGCAGAAATTATGATTACAGGGTCTATACACATTTGACCATATTTATATGATATTTTCTGTACAATTGTTGACTTCCACACCATTATTGAATTAGAAGTAGAAGTAGAAAAAGCACGCCGCTGTCTGGTGCCAGCAGGGGGCGCACTTTAGCTGTCATTATGAAGCACACTGCAAAAAAGCCATTCTGACATTCTGTACGAGTTTCTATCCTCCCACCCACAACTACACACAGACTAAACTCAAACTCATTGAAATTCATCTGATACCGGAAGCGCATTCTGTCAAACTTAATAACTGATGCTCGATGACTTATGCAGGCGTATCAATTTGGATTTTTCAGCTCAAGGACTAAATTCAATTTCGTTTCGAACTTCGACTTGAAATATCATTATACACTGCATGAGTTTGCATGTTTGCAATAACTAACAATTTGTAAGCTGCTTGAATTGCATATACACTATTTTTCCTCCAGGAATTCAGTCCTTAAAGAGACATCGTTTTAGGTCTACTCATCCTTCAAGCTAATTCAATTCTGTATCACTTTCTTCCATGGAACAAAAATGTAACATTTTAAAGAATGTTCATATTGAAACCAGGTGCCTTCAAGCTTCCCCACAGAACAAAAAAAAGTATCATCAAAGCGGTCCATAGACTCCAAACCTGTCGCCTTGACGTCAGAACACAATTCTGAATACACAAAAACACAACTGGGATTTTGAAAACGTATTAAATTTCAGTCTATTCAAATTTGGAACATAGCCTACCATATCAATGTAGTCACATTAACTCCTTTCCCGCGTGCAGAAGAAACTACTTTTCTAATACTTTTGTCCTCTTGAAACATGACTAAAAATGTGACCATCGACCTTGTGTTTGATGTAAGAAAGTCATACAAGAAAGTTATAGGCCTATATGGAAGAAAAGTCATTTGATATGGAAGAAAGTCATACATATGGGCGAGTAAACAATAACAGAATTTTAATGTTATGTGAACTGTTTAAAGGAACAGTTCACCCAAAAATGTAAATTTTGTCATCGTTTACACACCATCATCATGTCATTCCAAACCTATATGTCTTACTTTCTTCTGTGGAACACAAAAGATGATAGTTTGATGCATGTTGGAAACCAAAATGTTTTGGATACCTTTGAGTTCTGTTCTAGAAGAGAACAGAGAATATACAGAATATTACAGTTCAAAGAGTGAGTTAAATGAACTTTACTTTGAACACATTGACATCTTCTGTTCACAAAAACTAAGCACTTGTCGTTCCTTTTGTTTGCTTTCTCTCTTCACAATGGCACTTTCTCTGAGCATAAGGCTGAAAATTTTAATCACCATGACTGAAAAGCAAAGGGCAAATGATTTATGAGAGAAGACCATGTGACTGCAGAATACAGATACAACATTCCCCACACTAGTCATGATAACCTAGAGTGCTTAATAATCTTAATGATCCTTTAAAATATGTTCAACACCAGCAGAGTGTGCATATCTTGTTTCTAGTCTTACATGTGATTATAAGTTAAATTTTACTTGTGTATTAGCACAGAAGTCCAAAGATTACTCTGGTTATGGTCAGTTATAATGTGTGCAGGACTACGCTAAGCCATTGATTTTGTTTTCCAAAAGTTTAAAGGTCATATTAGCATGTAAAATGTCCTGCTTGAACTTGTTTTAACCTTAGATATACCCAGACTGATAACTGTATTACGGAGATTTTTCTTGCGTCGTGACATGCACGTGATATTTAATCGCTTATATCAGCAGCATAATCCACATGTGCAGAGCAGAAGGGTTCAACATCTGCAGCCGAGGGCCCTCTGAGAAACGAACAGTCCCAACAGGTTATTAACCAGCAAAATGATCTGCAGTGAAACCTTTTACAAATATAGACACACCCAAATATTCTTTACGGTCTGGTGGTCAGAGTAATTTAAAATTTCCCACAAATCTGACAACGTTTCAGGGATTAAGCGCACCACCCCACACCTCTAACGCCTATTAAAAATCCAGACTGTCAATTCGATGAAGGAAATGCGTGTCAAATGACTGAATATTTTTGACAGTCATGTCACACCACAGCACAACTGAATGGATTAAACAACCCATTTATTTCCATGCTTGTCCATCAGCGTCATAGAAATGTGTGATTTTTGTATTTCAGGCTTCAGTGGTTTGTTCCAAGAGAGTGCCATTAACACCATAAAAGTCTGACTCCTTAAAGCTGATTATTCTAAATATAGAGCTAGACTTTAGGGACCTCTGTGACCATTATAGGCCAAAAGTTTCAGAACAAATGCTAATCAAACATAAACTAAGGAATCATGTCAAATAAAGAATATAAATGGCACATTAACCCCAGTGAAAGAGCAATCCCCTTACCACACTACCGCACGTGGCATGGATTACCATATAAAGGCTGACACAAATAGACTAAACTGCAGCAGACAGATTATCCATCACAATGACAGGCTAGCCCGGCGGTGTGTAAGTGTTCAGTTTGGTTCTGATCCTAGTAAGTCCTACTTCCAGTGACATTAATAGTCTCTGTTGCATAAGCTGAGCCGTTGGTACTTGTGTTTGGCAATTATTACAGAAGACAAGACACAAGAGTTTAAGCAATGCATATATTTTCCTCAGAATTAGTATCTAATAATGATGTTATGATGGATTACAATCAGTTTTCAGCCCTTTCAGAGTTTTAAATGAGAATTAAAAATGGCAAAAAATGTACAAGAAACAGAAAATCCCCCAAAATTCATCCAAGAACAAGGGAATCATAAATTACATGTTCAAGAAATCACAAAAGAAAACAAATGGAAAGTAAATGCCAATCCTGTTTATCCTCTACTCAGATCTATTCTCTTGTATTTGCAGGCCAGATTTGTAAAGACATGTAGTCCCCGCCCACATCCTACCCAAGCCCCTCCCCCAACCAGGCCCCGCCCCTCTCTTGTGGTTTGCAGAGAGAGTAAAGTGCTGGTAGCTGATCCAGAGGTGTTCAGGAAACGCACACATGAACCACACGGAAACGCTATGAAGAAAAAAAACAAAAGGCAGCAAGCCCAACTAAGAGTAAATATACAAAAAAACTGTACAAAAGTTTACAACATGCAAAATCAAAACAATCATCTCAGAATATTACAACATATAAGTAAAACTAAAACAAATCATCTCAGGTTATATTTGGAACGATTAAAACAATTCATTAAATCAAACGTTATGCCAAATATAACTATCCTGGAATCTAACGTTATATTCCAAAAGCAAGATTAGATAATTACCTTGAGTCAATCACAGTAAACCTATTTCTAAATCTCAAATAAGTCTCACATAAATGTGTAAAAGCAAAAAAATACTTTTGACTTAAGTGTATCTGTCATTGCATATGAACTAGACAGTCTGAGCGGGCTCTTTAGCCAGAGTTAGGTTAATTAAATATCCCTTTTCAATGTCAGTTTTGTTATTCTGACACAAACAAAATATGCCATCTACACAGGTGATCAAGTATTCAGTACTGAGACACAGTTCTCAAGCAGTATAGCTGATTCTCCCACCAGCTTGACTTGTCTAGAAGTAAAAAACTTTTCGAATTACCCGCTTAGCAGCTTCTTTGGAAACAAGGTGGCTGTGTGACAGTCGCTTCCTCATAATGCTTTCGATTCCCGTTCAAAACGTGTGGGACTGACTATCAAGGCCCGACATGTGACTTCTCTAACACAAAGACCCCAATGAGAGAGAGCGGGCAAAAAGGATAGCGCTTCCTTCGCCTTTGTGACGATTAGTGCGATTCCTGTGGGCTGCATGCTAATGTGTATATATGTATAGAGTTGAAATCCGGTCCAAAAGCTATTTGGACTGAGAGAATATAATCGACTGTCCTCAGCTGAAACTGTCGGTCTAGTTTTGATCATAACTACAGTCATATGAATAAAAATGGTCACTGAATGGGACCTGTGCACCTCTAAACAGAATACGTCATGTGATGTGCCATCAAACGAAGGCAGGTGTCTCAAAGTGAAGAAATCAGCCCAAGTCATAAATAGTTTCTCATTTCGAGGATCCTGAGAATAAATAAGAAGGCACTAAGGCAGCGACGACCTCGTCAGATGAATTTTCCAACAGACTTCCTACACCACAGCATTATATACACGCATTTACAAGCTTAGTAGCGTCTATCTGATTTGTCATTTGCAATTACTTGAAACTGAGGAAAGTGAGAAACAGAAGACCTTCACCTGAACGCATACTTTCACGGTTTGTTAGTGGTTAGTTGTTCAAAGCACTAAATGCAGTTCCTTGTTTAAAACCTAGTTATAATGCACTACACGGTTTCACCTGAGGGAGAGTATGCCTAGGAACAGCCCGCAATCACATTACCCAACATTCTCTTCCTCCAGTGGATAGCAGCATTGCTCAGTAAGGATACGGTAGCTAAAAGGAAAAGGGGAAAAAAGAAGATGAAAGAGCACCAAGAAATGCATTTATATGAAAGAGGTTAAAAAGGACTATGAGAGTGACTTTAATGTGCAAGTAGAGCAAGCCGAGAAGTAGTGTTCATTAATACACAGGAACAATTCCCATCAAACCTTTTGTTCATATGCACAGGGGCCTTTAATCGTTTTGGGAAGGTGTTATTGCCACAGGAACCTTTGCACACCCTGAATGAAAATTAGACTAAAATAATGGGATATGATCTGTAGATGGTCAATATTCCTAAAAGTGACCCTCAGTCACTGCTGTCATCATCATCGTCGTCGTCTGAGATATTGTTGCTGGAAAACTCCGAACGGCTGTAGGAGTCTGAGCGGGACGGGAGGGTGCCGCCCGTGGAGAGCTGCTTGTAACAGAACTCGCACACCCGCACCGGTTTGGACGACTGACTGGGTAGCAGGAACTTCTTCTCCGAACACGGGCCGCACACGACAAAGCCGCATTTCCGGCAGTGGTGGCGGCGGTTGACGGGGGTGAATTTCATCTTCTGGCAGCGCATGCACACGGTCGCCTCAGAGTCGGGCACCCAGACGGCCGCGTGCTCGCCAGTGGGAGATTTCCCGCTTTTTTCCAGTAGGTCCGAGACGCACTTGCTGATGTGGCTCATCCACTCAGACTTCTCCGTAGCTGTGGCGGCATAGACGGCGAAGGATTTGGTGGGCGTTTTAATGAGCCAGCCGTTGCGCAGGTCGCCCTCGTCCTCTACCGTGTCTATGGTGACGCTCTCCAGAGGGATGATGTGCTGCTTATTGTACTTCTTCTTCTGGATGACGATGTTGCCATACACCAGGATGTCATTGAAGAGGAAGAACTGCCGGGCTTTGGGCCTTTTGCGGCACAGCTTTGTGAGAACGCCCTCTCCGATCAGCACTCGACCTGGGATGGCTAGCGGTTGACCTGCTGTGCCAAAGCATGCTTCCACGACTCCAATGCGCTTAGAGTTGGCCTCACTGTTCGCCAAGCGGTCCACCATCTTTCACACGCCTGAGAAAGAGAAGGAGAAAAATAAGAGGTTACAATTGGTGCAGGAACAGAAACCAAATATCATGGCTCAGACAATATCAGCACACATAAAGAGATGATACCACACAGACTTAAGGAAGGAACACTTGTGGTTTATCAAATCTTTACCAATTCTTTGTGGCCTTTAAATAGTTTAAGTCCCAGTATCTAGTTAATTTTGAAGCAACGGCTACTTAGGCCTATATAAAAGCAAATGCTTTTGTTTTATACACACAAAGAGGTCCGGAAATCATACACTGCTAGTGAAAATGCTTCTGTTTTGCCTTTTATTATTTTAAATTTTCTATATTCAATGCCTCCAAGAAAATCATCAGCATATTTTCACAGTCAGGTTGCCAAATGCTTTGAAAGACTATTTCATTAGAATTTCATTAAAATGTAAGTATTATCAATGTATGTAACTGATTAACCACTGATATCATTATTAAACAAAGCAAAATAATGTGTCCAAGCATTTTGTTCCATATTACTGACCATATTTGTTCCGTATTACTTAGTTGACAAACATTTGAAGCAAACATAACGCTGATTTAAAATATCATTCAAGTTTGGGATCAGCGATTTATTTTTATTTCATTTATTTGACAAAATAACACTTTGATTCAGCAAGGATGCATTAAATTGATCAAAAGTGACAATAAAGGCATTAATAATATTACAAAATATTTCTATTTCAAATAAATGATTCAAAGAATCCTGCAAAAATGCATCACAGTTCCAACAAGAATATTCAGCAGGACAATTGTTTTCAAAATTGATAATAAAAAAAATCTGCATATTAGAACGATTCCTTAAGGATCATATGACAATGAAGACTGGAGTACTGATGCTGAAAATTATGTTTTGCCATCAAAGTAATAAATTAAATTTTAATATATAATTATATTTATAATATTTAATATACAATATAATATATAATTATTAAAAAAATATGTACAAACACGTAGTTTTTTGATGTGGTAACAAGAATTGTGAATTGTTTCTGGTGAAAATTAAGGCCCCGTCCACACGGAGCGCCACATACTGGTCTGGCATGTATACTACATCATTTTGTGTCGGTTTTGTGGTTTCGTGTGGACACAGATATTTCTTGAGACGAGGGGGAAAAAAAGATCGGATAGGGAAAGCTCTGGCTTCGTGTGGACGTAGTCTTAGTATTGTGAGAAGGTTACCCAACAATATTTTTGTGACTAATAGTGACTAATATAAGATTACTAAAAATAAAGAGTGGTCTTATACATCACCAGAAAGACAAGTCTGTTCAAAGGAAAAAATGAGTGTTCCTGCAGAACAATATACATCATTGTGGGCTGTTTTTTTTTTTTTTTTTTGGAATAGCCTTCAATCTGCAGATTGTTTGACGGAGAGCATGAGTCAAGATGTATAATGATGACATACTTTCACAATAAAATTATAAATATAAAAGTATTTTTTCCAGTTTATCACAGAAAATCAACAGATCATCAAAATGAGTTGCAGCTCTGATAGTAATCCTCCAATCAAACTGCACTTTTGATCACCACATTATCACAGAGTATCTTCTTTTCACAGGGCTGGAGAGAAACAGGGCTACATGAGCTTTTCAAGGCAGGACAACAGGAACTGATCATTCTCACATTACATCCTGTCTGCCCGCCTCTACAGTCGCATCTGTGCAGGTCTAAGAAATGAACTGCACTAAATATAAATAAACAACATGTGGCAGCAAATGACAAACAAATCTCATAATGCTACTAATTCATTTAATAAGCAGGTGCTAAAATCTTGCAAGTGTGTAATACTGTAGTGTCACCCTTGTTTATTCACTTGCCTTTCGACGTAAACAAATGACATAATCCAGAGCTTACCAGGCTGCTTCAGATGGCAGAGCTGATCATGACGAACACACACTTGTTTAGTCTCATGTAAAAGCTACTTTTCACATCTTTGGTATCAACCCGTTTCCTCTTTGTGAATTAGAAATGATCAAACCCGATCTCAGTGTCATGCCAGCTGGGTTTCTAAGATACAGAGTGTTTGGAAAAAAAGAGAAATCTGAGGTCTGTAGACGGGTAAAAAAAGGTATAATGTGAAGCTTGGTGAACTCATAAGTCACTTGAAGATGTAGAGGATTAAGAGACCAGAAATAATACTGGGCGTATTTCCATGATGCCATGGATAAGGTAAACCCCAGTTCTGCCTCTGTTATGACTATCATATTGTAATCCGATGACAAGGCACACCAAACGAGCCCCTTCACCAAGAGAGGAACGCCATGACATTTAATACATCCTACACGTTGACCTCAATGTTGAAAAAGCAAGCTTGCCCATGTACAACTTCAAACTCACACAAACCACATATTTATCTAATGCAATCTCCTCCAATCGCACCACCCCCTGAGCAGGAAACTTCAACACACAACTAATCTACCCCAACTAGAGTTACTACTAGTTATAGACTATGGATAATTCACTCATAAATTAAAGGTGTGTCTTGTTCCAAACCTTTATGACTTCTTTCTTCAAAAGATGCTACACAAAAGTATTTTTGTGTCCATGCATACTTTATGGGGTCCAAAACAACACTGGATTTTAATTGTAAGCTCAAAAATGAATAAAAGAATTCTACAAAATACCACAGAAGTATTTTGTGCTTTACAGTATCAAGGAAATCGTACTGATTTGGAACATGAAATAAGTAAATGATGACAGAATGATATTTTTTGGGTGAACTATTCCTTTAATGTCAGCAAATATGTAAATTTAAATTGCTACAGTGACACCATATCAGACAATATCTCACCAAGTGCCAAAAAGAAGCGTCACTTGAACACAATGCATGGGTCACAAGACACATTTTCAAAGGTTAAGACTATTTTTAACACAAGTGTCTTAAAACACATCGCTTGTGGTGGGATGCCCAAATAACAGAATAAGACATGACGCAACAGCCAAATTACATTTGTCTGAATAATGCTTTAAAAAATATGAATTTTCTGAGAGGGTTTAACACAACTCACTAATCGACTAGTCAGCTGTAGGTCAACTAATGAAGCATTAACCCTTTGTGCTTTTATTTCCAACACCCGCAGGGCACAGAACGGTTGGTGTCTGGGAAACAGCAACAGAATGTTGAGTTAATGATATCAAACCAAAAAAGAAAAGACAAAAATGTGAATAATTTTACACAGTCTTTCACATGGACACTCAGAGGAGCTCCGCAATCATTCTGAAGTAACACTATGGGCAGTAGAGAAACTCTGTGTATCTGAAACTCAGTGAAAGGACACCACAGCCTCCTACACAGCAGCACTTTCCTGACTCACTTCCTCCTTCTTATAAAAAATGAAAACTGATGCAAGGGTATTCCACACATGCTGTGGGCAATACTACATGTTCAGAATAGCTAAACATGTTCCATTTTAGTTAGCATTTTACGTTATACAGTGAAAACCAGTGGTGCTTTGAGTATTAGAAGCATTGTGCTTTACATGTTTCTGCAGTATTATCAACATTAACCTATCTAGAGTCATTACTGTACAACAATGCAACAGACAAATACAAAGTCTAGACTAGGGCTGCACGATTAATCGAATGTGATGACAATTCTCTGACAAGCTATGCAAAAAAATAAAAATAAAAAATTTGCTGACGATATAATCGTACGATTATGAAATCGAAGAAATCATTCGCGATAATGACAGCTGTTTGTGTAGCTTCTCAGTGAACTACGGCTCTGTGTAGTAAATGCTGCTCCATCTGAAAGCATGTGAAAATACCACATATTTAATAACAGATTTTTACTCCAGACTCACTTCATAACGTCAGCTGAGTGTTTGAAATAAATCCTTCTGTGTGATGATGTGGCTTCTTACACAGAATAAGGCATGCAATGTATTTCATAAGCTGCGTCCCAAATGACGCACTATACTTATGCACTATGTACTCAGCCATGCAGAGGATGAATTATATAAGGTTATTCTGTCATTCATAATCGGAGTCTGATAGCCCCGCCCCCTTCGCTACGAAATTAAAGCTGCGACAGTTGAGTGCATGAAGTGTCCAACATTCCACACTTCGTTTTTTCGGTTATTTAAGTGCATCATACGGGTATTTAAAGTGCACTTTTTCTTTTTGGAATTTTCAGTGTGAACGCACTACTCGCACTATTTATACTACAAAACATCATAGAATAGTGCATAAGTACGCGATTTGGGACGCACCTATAGTATTCTAAGTAGTGTTGTCAAAAGACCCGGTACTTCGGTACCAAGTCGGTACTAAAAAAATGAAAACGTTACGGTACCAGGTTTTCTTAAGTACCGGTGGTACCGAGTACCCGGTCAACCCGGTTCTTGATGCGCTATCCAAAAGCTATACTCTTCCAGTGTTGCCAAGTCCCCCTCGAAACGCGTTTGGGCGGGTTTTGTTGTGAAAACCTGGCAACCTCTTCTTAAAAGCAGTGGCACATAGAGCGCCCTCTGGCCTTTGGATGAAGAGTTACTACTGATCACAGAACCATGCTTCACTGAAAGATACGCATGACAATCGCAGCTTCTGCCTAATCGCGATTTCGATTTCATTTTGATTTATCGTGCAGCCATAGTCTAGACAGAATCAGCCATAATGTCATGGCAATACAACATGAAAGCAAGAACTTCTGCCCACAAATGCAAACAAAAATGCACCTGAATCATGGCTAAATTTAAATATTGTAGACAAAACACTAAAACCTTTCACTTTCTCTGTTGAGAATATCCAGTTTCAATATTTTAAAGGGATAGTCATTTACTCATCCCTATGTTGTTCCAAACCTGTATGACTTTCTTTTGCAAAGAAACACAAAAGAAAATATTTTAACCCATGCACTTCAAACAACACTGGACCCCATTGACTTTCATGGTATGAACATGAAAAAAAAAAAAGAAATCTTCTTTTGTGTTCCACAGAGAAAATAAATGCTTTGCTAGGACAAAATGTTTTGCTCCAAACACCAACTCCTTTCAGAGGTTTCCCTAA